ACACACACACACACACACACACACACACACACACACACACACACACATGTACGTGCACACACAGAGGCAATCTTAGTATGTAAATTTGATTTTATCTGTAATAAGTGGTAATACTATACTGAATTATTTTTAAACAAATTGAAGACTTTATCAGTAAATGACTGTTATTATCCATTTACCCACAGTTGAATAAAAATTTCTTAGACAAAGTGTAGTCACAAATGAAAAAGTTTAAGCAGGTTGGCTTAAACAACAGGAAAAGGGCAAAAATAAAACAAAAGGACTGGGAAGAAGAGAGTTTAAGGAAGTAATGTTAGCAGGATAGTCTTGGTCTAGCTGACACACACTTTCTGCTGGAAGCCTATATAAGGACACAGAAGAAGGAAGCCTTTGTTCTTTGCCTGCTTCCTCTCACCTTGTTAGCAAGTTTGTTCCTTCATTGGCATTACAGTCTACTTTGGGGATCCCAGGGCATACTGAAGACCAACTGAGACATTCACCCTCATGGGCTGAACAACAGCTAGATTCTTGAACTTTCTGTTCACAGACAGCCATTGCTGGATTAGCTGGACCACAACCTGTAAGTCATTCTAATATATAGAATGACTTCCTGCCTATATATAGAGAGAGTTATTGTATAAGTTCTGTTACTCTAGAGAACCCTAATACAATGGCCTTCAGGAGTTCTGTAATGGCATCCTCAGAGCAGTGAAATCTCTCTTGACAGTCATCTTCCAATATCAATACTTTGCAAGGCCAATAAGATTCAAGTTAAGATTTGCACAGATAAGACAAGAAGACTGACTTGGTTTTATACTGTTGGGAAACCGTATAGGAAAGAAGAGACGACAAACTGTAAAGTCATGTTTTAAGCTTCTAAGTGAATAAAAATATTAAGAATAAAAAGCATGAACTATAAAATAGGTGATATGAATTTTTAATATTGTGGCAGAAAAATACTTTCTAAGAATAAAAAGAAATATATATGGCAAAATATAAAGTACAACTTAAATGTCAATCAGGCACATGTAACATTAAAAGCCAATAATCAAACTAGAAAAAAATATTAAGACAGGGGTTCATTGTGTAGCCTTGGCTGGCCTGGAACTGTCTATGTAGACCAGGCTGACCTGAAAATAAAAGATCTGCCTGCCTCTGCCTGGCATAATGTTTTTGTGGACTGTGTGAAGTTTACCCTTGTTCATTCAAATGCTGAGGTCTCTACCCCACTATCTGTTTCAATCCAGATGTGGCGTTGTGATGTTTATTCTAAGTATCTCCTGTTTGTGTAAACATGCCCACAATTTTCTCTCTGTTGTGCCAATAAACGCCAACTGGCTATTGCTGAACAATACAGTGAATAGAGTGGGCTATTCCAGACCAGCGAGAGGTGAAGAAAAAGAGGAAGCGCAGACTGAGCCACAAGGATAGGACGAAGAAGCTTCAGGAGAAGGGAACTAGAGAAAGCAGATGATTTAAAAAGCAGGTAGGACTGGGAAAATTTGGCTGGGAGAAACTAGACTAGCTTGAAGGTTTGGGATGGAGTAATTATTGCTCAGTATTGTGCTATAGGCTAATTACATAAATTACAATCTCTATGTGTCATTACTTGGGCAAATAGTTGGTTAAAGAGTAACTGTTGTATTATTAATAATATGAATCAACATTAATTATTAATATTCATTATATACTCTGCCTTCCAAGTGTTGTGATTAGGAGCATGTACACCACACCCAGGTGAAAAATCTAGGGGATTGTTAATATATCACATAAACAATGAATTGAAGGAAGCATTGTGTTGATTTACGGCTATTTGAAAATGTGTTTGTTTGTTTTTTTTTAAACCATGAAAAGGGGCAACAATTTTACATGAAGTAGTAGGAAAAAGTTAACACAATTATAGTGCTGAAAATCACAAGGGCTTTTGACAAGACATTTAAAATTTTATTTTCATTAAACCTGTAAAAAGAGATCTGTAGAACAGTGATTCATGTGCAACATTAGGAAAGTAACTTCCTTATAGCCCAAAGAGGCTATTCTATTTGACATCCTTCATATTGCCTATAAATTGCTTCACCCAGGTTTCCTTATGTGATTCAGTAGCTGTATTTGCTGATACAATTTTAGAAAATATTATTTACTGGACAGAAAAAAAAATCATGTGAAATAAATTCAACAGTGTTCTAAATTTAAGAAAGAACTGATTTTAACTCTGTTCAAGATTTACAAGTTTTGGACTAGAGAGATGGTTCAGAGGTTAAGGTTCTGCTTTTCCGGAGGTCCTGAGTTCAATTCCCAGCAACCACATGGTGGCTCACAACCATCTATAAAGAGATCTGGTGACTTCTTCTGGCGTGCAGGTATACATGCAAAACACAACATTGTATACATAATCAATAAATAAATCTTTAAAAAAAAAAGGATTTACAAGTTCTAAATGAACATTTTACCCCAATGGAAGAATAAATTCAGAATATATCAGTATTTACAAAGTTAATGAAATATGAAGAGCAACTGAAAAGATACATAGATGCATTCAACAAAGAATTTTTATTTTAATTATCCACAAAACAATATTACAATATTTTATAAAAATATTGTTTTTGGCTACCATTATTTATTTAAAAAAGTGTTTGTGCTAGAAGGCTGTTTTTGCCAACTTCCTTTTTTGGTAAGGGTTAAAGTTTCATATTAAGACAATGAAGATGAAAGTCGCTGAGAAAAAAATGTTTAAATGTACAAAACTGTTTCTTTTTCTTGACAATTTAAAAATACATAACAATTTAAACTGAATACACATTAAGTTAATGCTGTACCCTTACTATACAAATGTTATAAGGAACTGCTCTGTTCAGTTAAAATATAAAAAACATTAGATTTTAGAGATCTAAAGAATGCCATCAACTTTTCCTGTCTTATTTTTCTGATCAGCATTAGTACATAAACATAATCTTATTACCTTTAAAAAATGATTAGATAAACTACAATACCATAATTTACATGAAGCCCTTTAAAACACTCATGTCACAGACTGCAGATATCAGGGCAAATACGGACCCACTCTTCTCAGGAGACCCTCTTGGCAGAGGATTTGGTACTAAATAGGTTAAATAAAAAGAAAAACAAATACAACTTTTAGTACCAGAACTTTTGCCAACTTGCATTAAGCTCACTTGTCACATTTAAAAAGATTTAAATTTGAACATATTTACCATGGCACAGATCTTTAAATTTAGTGATTAAAATGATGGTAGTTCATAATCATATGCTAAAAATAAAAGAACTTGATATACCTTAAAGTGTAATTATAAAGCACAGCATTTAAAACATAAATATTAGAAACTTTTATTTTATTTAGCAGACTGTTTTCCCTTGCTAGACTTAAACCATTAACACTACTCAGTTCATATTAACATCTCATAATTGCTGAGTTAGAAAAACTCTCATTTTGGATGTTTAACTTCTGCACTTTAAATAGGCAAAATCTTGCCCCTTTAAATTATGGTACTCAGAATAAGTATTCTTCCTCAAATTAATTATAAAACGAAAATATGATAACCATCAAGCATATTTGAAATTACAAGTTTGAAGTTACAAGTTTCAAACATAGATTTGAAAATTGGTGTTCTAAAAAAGTTTTGTATAAAAGCTGGGCCACTGAAATTAGTGTAAAGCCTTATCGTCACTATTTTGAGGAAGTAAAACTTATTTAGTGTATGAAATATTAGTATATTCTTTATAACTTTTAAAGTCTAAGAAAACAGCTAATAAGGAACTCTGAGTGCCAGCAAAGCCATGTTGTCACTCCACAACACCAACATTAAACATTCCTCCCATCCCAATACCTGTAAAACTTTCACATTCTCTTTTCTCATACTTCTTTAAATACATTTTCTCTCTTCTGTTTTATACTCAAGACAAGCAAAGTGCATCCAAGTCCCTGATCTAGTGATGTTTTCTGTCTGTGGAGGCATCACCATAAACACATACTAGCAACGCCTCACAGTGCTCCATCTGTGCTTTTTTAATTGACTGCTTAAATGCTATGTATTTAATGCAAGTATTTAATGCAAGTATTAAAAAAAAATCTCCCTTGGACTAGATAGTTTAATTTCAGTTGTATATATATATATATATATATATATATATATATATATATATATATTTAAATCAATACAAGCTTGTAAAAGATTAATCCACTTTCTGGTTACCTTCATTATTTTAAGATGAACAGTTCAAGAAATAACTGAAGTGAAAATTTTGTTTTTTTCTACTTTCCAGTTCTATGAATAAAGTGTGAACATAGTGTATTATGCTTGCAAATTCCATAACTGTGGTCTCACATTAATCAAGTTTTTGATGACATTTATAATTCATAATTCATTTTTGGCTTTTGGAAGACTTGGCCCCTTTTCACACAAAGGAGGCCTCTGTTAAGACTGCATGCCAACTGTTAAATGGAAAAAACAAACTCAAAAAAAATTTTTTTTTTTTTTTCTAAAAAAAGGAAGAAAATTTAAAAGCTGGAATGGAGTTATTTGGTCCCAGGAAGTTCTTTGATTTTAGATGTTACTGTGGTATAATGGCCCAAGTTTTGTCCATAACAATAAATAGTTTTCTCTTAGCAATTCTGAGTTTGGGGAAGAAAAGGAAGCGACTAAGTAAACAGTAGTCTTGTTGCTCTTTCTTACCATGGTACCACCCACACAGTCACAATATCTCAGTTCTACTTGCTTTGGACCCTGAAGTGAGTTGTAGGATGCATCATTGGTACTTTAGAGTTTAACACTTGGGGAAAAAGTGGTTTTGTGCAACCATATCTGTAATTCCAGTTTACCAGTTTACATGCAGAGCGAATAGTGTCATCTTCTTATTCCTGTGCAGGAGGAACTGACACAAGGTCTTTATGTTTCAGCAGATCTGTGCACACAGGCTGCTTGGATTATAAATTTTCTCCTGGTTGGTACTGTGGCTCTGTAGCAGTGAAGTAGTCTTCCAAGAAGGACTGAATATATTCAAATGTTGGTCTCTCATCAGGATCCTTCTTCCAGCAAAGATTCATCAAGTCATGGAGGGATTCTGGACAGCCCTGAGGGCAAGGCATCCTGTATCCTCGCTCCACTTGTTCCAGAACTTCACGGTTTACCATACCTAATGTTAAGATTCAAACATTAAAAACAATGGTCCTAGCCATGAAGAGCAAGCAGAGTAAATATTCTAGCCACTAACTGATGACATATAAGTTCATCTAGTGAAGACATTTTCAAAAGAGAACAGAATAAAATGTAAATATCAAGTTTTATGAAGAAAAGCTGAGATACGAATGATAATCTGAATTTTAATATTTTTTATGAAGTTTTCATTCCACCTAAACTTTTACTTGTAACACATATCTTCAAATGCCAACTAAATCTGACTAAAAATTTAGGGTATATTTAAGGTATTGGTATTTTCTATTATCATTTAATAACCACAATTTGAGCTAATGAGGAATCACAACTAAACTAGGAGAGAATTCTAGTTCTATTTGTGTGTGTGTGTGTGTGTGTGTGTGTGTGTGTGTGTACATAACTATTTCAAATCACTACCCTGAGTTTCTTTATCTATTATCGCCTATTTGGATTTCTTTGTCCTATTACATAGTTCATTTCTTTTATTCCTTTGTAAGATCCCTCCCATGATTGAGGACTTACTGTTCACTGTTCCAAGCTAGCAAGTGGACTCTTCCTAAATTTCTCTTAGACAATGTCTCACAGTGATGGTAGAATCACCTAGAAGAAAACTTCTGGGCATGGTTGTGAAGGATTATCTAGACCAAAATAGCCTCTAGGCATACCTACGAAGAATTATCTAGGCTAGATTATTTAAGGAGGGAAGACCCAAAACTGTGGGCAGCACCGTTCTGTAAGCTGGATCTTGGACTGAATAAAAAAGAGCTGAACACTAGCGTTCAGCTCTCTCTGCTTCTTGACTAGATACAATGAGATCCATGTCTGAAGTTTCTACAGTTATGATTCTCTACTGTGAGGGCATAGTCCCTTCTTTAGTCAGATATTTTGCTTCAGCAGCATGTACAGCAACTAATATACTTGTCAAGCCAGCAAATCCATGCATGACTCTTCCCATATCACCTTCCCTGCCAGCCAAAACAGGCCAACCCTTATCTCCTGTACACCTACCCTGACCACTAGAGTAAGACTGTTCACTGAATGTGATTCCTTTAAAACAATTAAATAGTATACAATTACTTCTATTTTTAGTTATGACATTTGAGGAATAAGGGTTTCCTGAAAATACTTAAAACCTCAAAAATACTGAAGGAGAATGCATGACTATTACTTTGGGACCTACTACTGAAAAGAACGTATTTTGAGATTTTCGAAGCAGTATACCTCTATAATGAAATCCAATATACTTTCCAGCTACAGAAATAAAACCTGTTGTTAGATGAATGTAAAAAAAGACCAAATATTCAGCATTGAATACGGACTTACTGTAATTGAAGATCTTTTGTTATTGATCATATATGCCTATGAGCTTTTATGCTTCTTAACAGACTAATATTAACTAATCTAATAAGCCTGAAACTATAAAAACAACTTTAATTATCAATTACTTCTTCTTTGGGGAGGGGCTATGCTGGAGATAGAATCCAGGGTGTTTTCTTTTTGAAGATTTGTTGTATTTTTAACTCTGTGTGTGTGTGTGTGATGGAAGGCTGAGAGGTGGCGAGAGGGAGGGAAGGGAAGAGGGAGGGGACAGAGAACATGAATTTGGAGAGTACAGAAGGGCACACGGAAACCTGGAGCTGAAGTTACAGGCAGCTGTATCTTGCCTAGTACTGCTTCCATGCAGTGCTCTCTTCATGCTCAAGTTCCCTCTCCAGTTTCTGAACCCCGCGCCTATATACACTAAGCACATGCTTTACCCCTGAGCCTATACTCCAGTCATTATTCCTGACAACTTTTTCATTCAAGATTTGACCCTTCAGAAATTTCTGATAATCAGAACTATTGAAAAGTTTTTATACCAAAAGATTTAGAAGTAAAACATGGCAGAAGAGGCCTCCACTCAGACTTCAAAAGGATAATCATTTCCTACAAAAACACTTCTAAGATTCTGAGTAAGATATAACTTATAACCATGGCAGGAAGTCAATTCTTTTATACCTATTCAATTAAAAGATGAAGACTCTAACACCCTATACTTTTTTTTTTTCACCCAATACTTAAAATGGACAAGTATTTCATTATCATTTAAATTTGTTGACGTTATTTTGCAAAAATAATAGTAGCAAATAGAAACTGTTGGTGGTACAAGTAAATCCTCTTCAATAATCAAAGATGGACAATATATTATCTTTTCCTGTTTTGAGGTCTGTCAATCTGTGGGCTAGAATCATAGTTCGGTGGAAGAGTGCTGGTTTAGCATATTCATGGCCCTAGGTTCAATCCCTAACACTTACCTGCCAAAATAAAAATATAATCTACAAGTTGCTTATATTCTGCTTCTTATTTGAATGTTTACTTATGTATTATACATTTGCAGATATGCCTTAGTTATATATTCATGTTTGAATTTTTACACTTCCTTGGTTTAACTGATGCTTTTTTAATTATTTAATGATCTTTTGTCTCTAGTAATATTTCTTGCCTTGAAGTCCACAGCTGCATAGGTTTTCTTTTGGTTAGGATTTTTCACATATGTCTTTCCACCTTCTGAATTTTAATGATTTTTGTACAGCTTTATATTTAAAGTATATCTCTTAAAAATAGTACTACTGGGAAATGGAAAGATGGCTCAGCACTGGCTGAAGAGCACTGGCTGCTCTTCTAGAGGACCCTGGTCAATTCCTGGCACCCACATGGCAGCTCACAACATTCTGTAACTCCAAGATCTGACACATTCACATAGACATACAAACAGGCAAAATACCAATGCACATACATACATACTTTAAAAAAAAATTGTACTATGGGGGCTGGAAAGATAGCCTAATGGTTAAAAGCACTACACAGTCATGGAGACCATAGTTGGCATTCCAGTATCCATGTAAGAAACTAGGTGGTCAATGCATGCCTGTAATCCCAGCTCCCAAGGCAGGGGTAGAAGCTGAGGCGAAGACAGAAGGATTTCTGGGGTTTGCTAGGTTCTAGCCTAGCCAAGAAAACAAACAAACAAACAAACAAACAAACAAACAAACACTCATGAGCCCTAGATCCAGGGAGAGCTACTGCCTCAGAAAGAGTATAAGGCATGTTAGGGGTATTATAATGGTATAGCATTTATACACATATTTAAAATCTGTTTTTTTTTGTCCTTTAATTGGAATGTTTAATGCAACTTACAGACAAGTGTAATTATGGGCATAGGTTTAACTACCATCCTTTCCTTTTTTTAAGACACAGTTTCTCTGTGTAGCCCTGGCTGTCTGAAAACTCACTCTATAGACCAGGATGGCCTCAAACTCAAGAGATCTACCTGCCTCTGCTGAGTGTTCGGATTAAAGGCACTGGCCACCACACCAGGCTTATCTTCCCAATTACCTACTTCTTGTCCTATTCTTTTGTCCTCTTTTTATTTTGATTAAGCAAGCACTGTTCATTATTACTTTTTGTTTTTTTTGTGCTAGGGATCAAACCTATGGCTCAGTGCATGCTAACTGGGTACTCTACAGTCTACCTAGTCTTCAACTGCTGAGCCATGCTCTCCTGGAATTGCAGTATGCTTCTCTGGGGCTTATGCTTTGAGTACTTATATAATCTCTAAACCATTTACTTACTACGGTTTTATGCCTCATGACCTTTCTGTTACTGTCACAGATTTTATTTTACTTCTTATTTTTTAAATATTTATTTTATGCCTATGGGCATTTTTGCCTGCTCACATGTCTGTGTACCATATGCATGCAGTGTGCACAGAGTCCGGAACAGATGTTGGATCCCCTGGCACTGGAGTTACGGGCAGTTGTGAGTCACCATGTGAGTGCTGGGAGTGCAGTCCAGGTCCTCTGAAGAGCATTAAGTGCTCTTTATCACCGAGTCCTATCTACAGCCCCACTGAATTTATTTTTATAAATGTGGTAATTTATTTTTATAAATGTGGTAAGATAATATTGGTTGTTTTAAAACAACAATTTCCTCCCCTAGCACTTGAAGACATAATTTGGGCAAACTAGCTTAATGGGTAAACCTATCTTGCTACCAAACCTACTGACTTGAATTGGCGCTCCAGAATCTACATAGCAGAGAGAGCCAACTCCTACAGGTTGTCCTCTGATCTGGAGCATGCCTTTAATCCCAGTACTCAGGACACAGAGGCAGGCAGATCTCTGTGAGTTTGACGCTAGCTTGGTACACAAAGTGTGTCCAGGATAGGCAAGGCTACACAGAGAACTCTATCTTGAAAACAAAAGAAAACATACAAACAAACAAGACAAACCAAAATAAAGTTTTTTCTTAGATGTTACACCATGTGACATGATTCCAAAGATAATTTTAAGTTAGAATATATTAATTTTAGAGACATTCAATTGTTTACAGTGTTAGAACTTGATTATGCTCTATCTTCACTCTCAAAAAGATTAAAAATCACTGCCTTAAAATATGTTTAGCCTTGTTTTTGCTAATGTTATTAATCTATAATACAGCTATAGACTTTATAAACTAAACTGTACAGCAAACTGTTATGCTCTTTAATGGCACATCATAAAAAGGTAAAAAAGTTCCCAGTCTCTTATTGATTATGTTTATGGATTAAAAAGCTTTATTTTGATACTAGAAAAGCTGCAATCTAACCTGAGAAATGTAAATTAATAGTCAGTCACCTTATAAATGATCAAATCTTTTAATGTGCCCAGAAATACATTTGTAGTCATGATAAGAACCAATGTGATTAACTACAAGATTAAGATTTATTTAGCTTCCTGTACATGTTTTCAAAGTTAAATGAGAAAGTAATGAAAACACTATTTGCAGAATATGGCATAATTACAGATCATAACATTCTGTTTTAAGTTTGCAAGGTATAATTTAGAACAGATAAGTAAAATTACAAAGATTGTTTACCTCAAACATGCTGGCCTGCAAGCCTGTCAGAGACCTGCTGAATATGGCATTTAAGATGTTTAAACTTATTATGACAAACAGAGA